ACTGTCAAGCCTACTATCTGATATCACTGTATCTCCGTTTCTCGCTAAAACTATACTCGATAGCAATGTTGGAGAACCTTGGATAGACGCCATCCAACAGTTCGAGCAACGTTTGATCACGTCCAGATCGCGGACTCGAGTGAAGGCTGCGCGGGACTTGGGGGAGGTTGCTGAAGGACTTCGCATAGTGGTACGCCTTTGATCAAACAGCTCCTAGACTGCGCCTCTTTTGCCTAACCGATTGACCTTAAGGCTGCTACTAAACTGCGAGGTTTCTTTCTCGCGTTGTTCCAACCCATCCGGAGTAGTGTGACAACCAATATGCAAGTCATTCAAACGTCAGTGTTGCTGAAATACGCACCTCTGTTTGGATTCCTACAACGACAAGCCCCTGCAGTGGCCAACGAATTACAGCGGGCGTATGCAGGTGCTGCAAGGCTATACTATGAAACGGGATTCCGGAGATATGCTCGAAGCCTTGGTCTAATCAAGGTCCGTATGCGATGATAAAACAGCGCGTCTCTAATCACTTGCCCCTTCTAGACTCGGTCGCCAGAGAAGTTTGAAACGATCACCAGTGGTGACAGTGATAAGAACTTCGTTATGGATCTCAATCGACTTCAACATGGCAAGCTCGACGGCCCAAGTGCGACCCTCAGTTACATGGCAGACAGTAAGAGCCACGTGAGTACAGCCGTACCTTTTCAAGATTTCTATCTCTTAGTTTTCTCAGAAAGAACCTGTGGAAGGCCTGCTCCGCTCTCTTCTACTGGTGTTCATGGATAACGCCACGTCGGAATACGTCTTTATCTCGAAGTTCTTCGCCTCAAGTCCCTCTCCACCTTCGGTAGACGCGAGTTTGTCACTTATGACCCCGACTGCCATAGTTCCAACGCCCAGCGCCATGGCCAGTCCCGAAACAACGGCTTTTGCTGAAAATCGTTCTCCTTCTGCTTCAGATTTTGGCGGGAGTTCCAGACATGCCTCTGGAGTGTTTCCCAGTCTAGGTGCTGTGATATCCCCAGGGCCGTCAAGGGAAGAGCAAGCTGTAGTTGACGCAATTTGGAAGCAAATAATGGACCCCGTCCTTGAATACTGTCAAGTAAGTCTTGCGATATACCACTCATTGCTGGGCTAAGTTGTTTGTTATAGAATTTTGCCCGGCTGGCTCTTGAGCCCATGCCTTCGACAACACCTTTGTTGACAATGATTCGATTGACTGAAGAGGTGGTAACTGAAATTCAAAAGCGACGCTGTCCTCCAGCAGAGTCATTTATATTCGGACTTCGGTTGCAAATGTGGCCAATATTCCAAAAGGCAATGCACGAACACATCGAGTCTTTGAAACGGTTGGCAGAGGGAACTGGTACAGGTTATTTCAGTCGAACGTCTACAATCACAGACGCAGTGATAGCGAAGGTGAGTTACTTATGTTATTAATCCGCTTACTGTTGCTGATTGTCGCTCAGATCTCCCGACGCTATGTCGGTCTCTTCAACTCTTTCGTCTATCTGACCGAGCACGAGGAAGAGACCATGATCTTTTCAAAGTAGGTTAACTCTTTCGATTTAGAACCTGTCGCTGATAAGAACCGTAGCTTGCAAAGACTGCGTGAAGAGTTGGTCAAGCTGATGAACCGCCATACAGAGCGCATCAACGACCGAGTGACGAAAGCAACTGCACAATCTGCAGTCTACGAGCTCATCCTACAGGAACTAAGTGTGAGTTGTAGTTTACACTCTACACGGATATGTGCTAACACCGACGACTACAGAACGGAACGCAGCATACTGCGCATCTCAAACTACAGAAGGAGATTGCATTCTGGTCTTACTTGGATGAAGAAGCGAAACGGAAAATTGTTTCTGCTGGTCAGTCCCGTCCTCGACATCCAGAGGGAGCACCCACTTAGGCTAGGTCTTTTTTTTTTTTTAGTTTCTGGCGCTGTGTCCCAGTGATACGCCTACAACAGCGTTGTTGAAATCCATACATACGATATCCTAATGAAATGATTGTACATTGAATAGATACTTGGTTTATGAATGCACGGGGCAAGCCCAATGTGGGTTTGTTTGTGACAGCGGGTTGAGCGAGTTTGAACCTGCGACCGACCTTTGTTTCGTCAGACCACATTGAACCGACTCTGTCGGATACCTCCGCCACGCTCAGTGACAGTACATTTTTGGCGTTGCCAGCCATGGTATTGGCCGCAAACCAAGATGGCAAGCAGGCTGCTAAAGTACTAATTCCACCATTAACTGTCGAGGAAGAAGGTGAAGCCAATGTCTATTGCATTCGCAATCTCATGACTGAACAATCGAACTAATAGCGTTTTGCCATAGATAGCATCATATTGGCGCGCATAACAAACGATGAACGACCTCTTAAACGTGTAATCAAACGATTCCACGGCTACGCAGCTGCCGCATGTCCACCAATCGTACCGCTTGCGCCAGGGACCGCGTCGACAGGCACAGTGCAGGATGCCCGCGAGGCTTTTCTTGTTGAGTTGGCGTCATATCAGTTATCTTTGAAGAAGAGTGCGATGATTTGCGAGGCGGAGACGAGACAAGTGGAGGAATACCGGCGAGAGAGGCAGAGAATAGGCATGTCACGGTAGCGCTAATGGCATTCGTCATCTAAATTCTGCCTTACAGAGCAGGAACATGAGGTGCTTCGAGACCAGATTGAAGAACTGAAAACCGCTTTGGAGCACGCGCAAATGCTTCGGCGTAGAAAAATCGAGTACGACCAGCTCACAGAGAGGGTGAATACTCTGCCACAGCGGGACGAATTGCAGCAGTGAGTCACCATTAATCTGGCACTCCTTTCACACATAACGAGCAGCGATTAGGGAAATCGATTCTCTGGAAAATGACATGGCCGCAATTCGTGCGGAACACGAGAATCAAAATCGAACACTTCTCTCGCAAAAAGTGGCCCTGGACGCCATCGTCACGGACCTCTCTTCTCTGCGTTTTATTGGAAAGGACAAGGACACCACGACGGAACCCAACTCGCCAGGGGACACACCTGCATTGGAGTTGCCTGAAATGGTGGCAGAACCGACATCCGAATCGCAAACAGAAATAGAGTCAGCGGTAGAGGTGGCCAAAGATACCAGGGATACAGATAAAGAAGAAGAAGAAGAACCTGTTACCCCCGCAAAAACGCAAGAGGAAGGGATGGTCGAGGACGACATTGAAATGGGGGAAGTTGAAGAAGAACCTAGAGACAAGTTGAAAAAGAAGCCGAGAGAAGAAGAGCTGGAGGAAGGGGAGGCAAGCGACGAAAGTAGCGAGCTCTCAGAACCTCCGGACGATTAATATTTGTCGATATTTCGGAGGCAATATGACCCTTTATCACTCGCTAGAGCCTACTTCGAAGCTATACAAGTCTGCTGCACAAGTCACTGGTTTACCAAACTCTCTTTCAGCCAACTGCCCAATAGCGTTCATGATCTTCAGCGATTCTGGGGCTGTATCGCCAGGGTATCGAGCCGAGAAATGATTCAAAACCAAGCTCTTTGCTCCAATGTTCTTTGCGAAGGCCCCGGCCATCTGAGGTGTCGAGTGCCCTCGTGACTTTGTTCTGGTTTCCACCGATTCATGAGTGTCTTGCTCTTTTGTATCCTTGTCTATTCCCGGCAAATGGGCGTTGGTCGCTTCATGGATTAAAAGGTCGGCATCCATAGCAAGGTGTGTTATCGGCGAAGGGTCGTAGGTATCCCCCAGAATCACCAACTTTCTTCCCTGTCGACGAGGAGGGCCTTGAAGCTCTGTTCCGTCGTTCAGGACGACCTTTTCTCCTGCTTGTAGCTGGCGCATAACAGACATAGGTGTTTTCGTCCTCTTGATCGCCGGGATGTATTTGGAAGGGTCGATTTTGCCTGGTACGGGCGCCTCGTTCACCACATAACCCACGCAAGGTACGGAATGTAGAATCGGTGCGGCTGACACGGAAACGACACCGTCTTTGTATATGTCAGGCCAGACGCCGTCTTTCATTTGAATGTTTCTGCCATGGGCGGATTCTGCGAGTAAACGGGCAACTCCAGCAGGTTCGTCATTTTCCGTCGGGTCAGATGGAAACCTAAGCTCGTGGACGACATAAGGACGCCCCAGCAGGGTGTAGGTATATGCCAAGGCAGCACGAACGTAGGCTCTTGTCCCCAGAGGCCCATATATTTCCAATGCCTACGGTGCATTATCAACAGAGCCCAGCAATTAGATAGATACATCGGTACCGGTATATTTTGGTCCACAGCTACCCTTGGATCTTCGTTCTTCTGCTCTTGGTCTTGTCCTTCGGCAACAATTCCTCCAGCCCCGTTCATACAACTTGCGAGGAGAGGCGCCAGGCCAAAGATATGATCACCTAGCGAGTATCTGTGAATGGAAAGTCCATTTCTGAAGATGTTCATTACCATGGGTATGGGTGATGAATATCTTTTCAATCCTACCCATCTTCACAGCACTCTTCTGGAGCTGATGCTGGGTTGCTTCACCACAGTCAAAAATCCAGACATCACGGTTGAGTCGAAGAGCAAGTGCTGAATGGTTTCTGGTCGAAGATGGTTGTGCAGAGGCTGTCCCGAGGAAGGTGACATTGATTGAAGTGAGAAGAGACCTTTTGGGGACAGAAGTCATCGTTATGAGGAATTTGAAGACAAGAATCTGAGCGGATTTGTCCAGCTTGAAGCTTAAACAAGCGCCAATGATGGCACCAAAACATGATGAATTCGACACCAGCTCTCCATATTATTTGAGGGTTCGCAGACGGTAATGTGGAACCTAATTCACTGGAAAATAAAGGAAGTCAACACTTGCAGCAAGCGCGATATTTCAGATGAGACCATGACATTCTCAAGTCCCAAAATTTCTCCGCTTATTCTCCGAGTTCGGGGTGGCACTGCAGACGTGTCGCAAAGACTCCTTGAAGCAGCTAGTACCTTTCCTTCAGTTACCTCAAGTCATAAAAATTGGGAGATCGGACAAAAATGTCGGTAACTGGAATCGAACCAATGGCTCTTCGGTTTTGCTCGTAGTAAGCTTCCACAACGAAGTGATTTAACCCCTAATCGATACCGACTATGGAAATTCATCTGCAGCCGTGGTCCATATCCCTATTTATGAGGAGAAAAGAGATACGAAAATTTCAGACAACCAAATACAATTCTCAAATTTCAGATGCTTTGCAGGCGCAGACGTAAGAAAAAGTCAAATGAATCATATTATGCAGCTGATAGAATAGTTTATGACGTTGGTCTTTGCGTGATCGAGGGTCTTGGTACCGTAGGCACGAATGATTTCCTATAACGTCTCAATTAACCAAAACAGCATTTGCGTTACGTCCAAGAAACTCTCACCTGCTCAATACGAGTCCCTTCAATGCACGTATCTCCTTCTTTAGAGCATCTTCCGCCGGACTCAGTCCATATGAGTTGGACATTCCCATCCCTCCAGCAGGTGGTCTGTACGGGATGTAGACATGACTGCTGATATAGCCGGTGAATTCTGTGAGCGTTTCTAGCGCGTGCTGGAACACGGTCGATGGTACTTCCTTCCGCTTGGGGAGCGCTTCATTTAGGGCATCCAACGACTTCACGAGGGCCGAGGGTTCAAGTGGCTGAGGCGTGACATATTCCCATGTTTTCTGCGGCTCCTGGCTTCCTGAAGGAGTGATCTGATGTTCCACGAAATATGGGCAAGCGATTAACGTGTCGTATATCGTTTTCTATGGATTCAAGTTAGATTTCGATCCAGAAACGACCAAGATGAGCTTACTTTGAATTCATATCCCTCAACGGACGCGAGCCAGGGTATTTGACCCTCAAGCAAAAGGAAAACATCCTCGGTCGTTGGCCGTGCTTCATCCCCCGACTTTCCTTTTGAAAGGTCTGCAATAGCGCAACGCAGAAGGGTCACTGGAGGTACGCGTGAATAATCTGGTTCCTCCTTGTCCAACACCTTCAAGGTCTGGGACAGACTACGAGCTTGTGCGAACGGTGCTAGTTCGTGGTATGGGTCCGAGCGTGGCAGGGCAGCAAGGGACTCTGATTGCGACTCTTTCAGTGACAGTAGTGAAGCTGTTAGCCTTCGCATGAGGGAGATGTGATGAACTCGGAGTGAATGTCGCGCGTCGGCGGTCTCAGAAATCTTTGGCAACAAGAAACGCTGTAAAGTCGTTAGCCTTGTGTATCGGACCTATAGGCCAAAGACTTACGTAGTAGACAAAGATTAAAGCCGTTGAGCCCAATCCTATCCACGAGAACAATCGAGCTAGTCCCAGCAGGAGCACTGGGAGGTTCGATGGATGTTGCTGTGGGTACGTTCTTGGTGGGATTGAAGGAGCGGCATAGACAGGAGACTACGCAGTGTCAGTAGCAATACAGGGTTTGTTGTCCAAAAAGCACCTACCTGTTCACGCATTAGACTGTCCACCTCGACGTCGCTTAGCCCCTTTTCTGCCAGAAACCTTCGCTTCGCGGACAGGTCCTGTTGTTGTATTTGAGCGGAATGGAGGAAACTGCGAGCTTTCGCAAGCAGGTCGTTTCTGTCCAGCTGTTCTACATTCCATCCAGGGGAAGGCGCACTCGTTGATGGCGTTAGTGCAGATGGTGATGATTCATTACTGGTTCCCGGCTGTGAGCTGGAAGGCCCTGTTTCTGGTCCGGAATTGCTGGCCTGCGCCTGCGGGGTGGTAAGAGGCTCTGGTTTAGATTCATGTTCAGACATTCTGAGTCGAATCTTTCGAAAATGGGATAGAGAAAGAGCAAAGCAGGGCTCAGGTTCCACTAGTTCACATCCGCCGTGACGGGAAAGATCAATTTGGCTTACCGGGCGCCTGATGCATGTGAATGTCCCGGTCCGGCAACGCGTTCACTGCTCAGCTCACTCAGGACTACGAAAAGGAAACTACGAGTCCATTCAATCCAAGAAGAAGTACAGTAAATGCATATTAGAACATGTTCGCTAGTTTACTTGCAGCCTCTCGCGGGTCCAGCCGTGGTCTCTGAGGCTGGACCCGCACAGAACTGGAGAGCTGCCTCGTCTTGATCTGTCCCAAAGGATCGAAACTCTGGTTTGCACCGCCAGAGGGCGCAGGGCCAGATTCCAACGGGGAGGTAGGGGCCTCATAAGATCTACGAAGAGGGTCGATGGGGCCCTTGGCCACATTAGTCATCGATGGGGTATGGAAGGTAGCTGGCCTCGTGCTCGTCGGTGTGATGAACATCGACTTGGATCCATCCACAAACTTTCCACCAAGAGGGGGCGTATCCGTCGAGCGAGGGGCCTCCCTTGTGTTCTCCTTCGGAGGTGCTTCAACCCCAGAGCCCAATGGTTGGCGTGCAACAGGGGCCGCTAAAGGAGAAGCAGACTGTGCTGCTGCCAAAGGTGGTGCTCGAACCGCCGGCTTACTAGGCTGTGGTGGAACTGATGATGGACGGATGTCTTGGTTGGGAATGGCTTGAGGAAGTCGCGAAGATGATGCGGTTGAAGGCGCAGCCGTGTGCGGAGGCGTATCAATAGAGGGTCCTGGATGGTGTCCATTGCGCACGGGTGCGGAGGGCAGTGAAGGGCGGTCTACAAAATCTTCCAGGGGAGGGATAATCTTTGGTCGAGGAACTACAACGTTTGGAAGAACTTTCTTGTTTGCATTACCGACATCAGTTCGCAACGATTCCAGATCTCGCAAGAACTGGCGTTCGTATAGGATCGACGAACGAGCATGCTCAATCAATGCCGTGGTTATATCGTCATTGGCATGTCGGTTGTGTGTATCCAAGGCCATGTGCAAGTTCTGAGAGATGCCTTCCGCTCGTCTGGCGAGGATCTGCTCGTACTTGTTGGCCTAAAACGTCATCCTCAGCAACAGTTCTTTGCCGAGTATAAGCAATCATACCTCCTCCATATCCTCCAAAGCATCATCTACTCGTTCAGGGCGGATATTTGAGCTGGCTTTCAACCTTTCGATTTGGCGCCTCTTCGAGATGGTGGTCTTGACAGCGGCTTGGTACTCTTCCAACACACCTGTCCTCATTTGAAGTGTCTCCTTTGCGGAGCGAGCATTCATTCCTTGATACCCAAGAGAATCCCCAAGGATGACACATTCGCTAATGGCTTGCGCGTGGTCGAGATCAGCCAAGCTATGCCATGTCCTCCCCAGCTTGCGAAACGCATTCCCCAGTGGAGGATGAGCTTCCGTAGACGCCACGCTAATAAGCTTGTCGCCCATGGCCGCATGAGCAGCAGCAAGGCCTGGTGATAGCAATGAGAAAGTGCGAACCCTTGAAAGCCACTAAAATCGAGCGTACCCTTGCGTGTGATCGCCAACCTATCCACCGCTTTCGCAGTGTCGAAGAACTGACCCTCCAACTTGGTCAGTTCAAACCTCGCCTTCTGCAACTCTTCATCCTCGTCCGGTACGTTCCGTCTTATGAGAGTGAATCCGGAAGAAGTCTTGCGCTTTGGGCGTGGTGTAGGTTGGTATCCGAAATCACTCTCAATGAAGGACCGCAAGTCCTCGTCACCCAATAGGATAGGATCCTCGCATACCCGAGTGAACCACCGCTGCAGCATAATCTTGACCAACCGATCATCTTCTTCATCTGTCGGAGCAGAGGTTTGTGCCAAAGGCAAGGCAGGGATGATGGTCTGTGGATTGCTCGGGACGATGGCCTCATAGAACTGCTGAAACTCTAGATATGATCTTGAAACGTTGCGATATGTCGTCCCAGTAAAGTTGGTGAGATTCGTCTACATCCAACAGTTCAGTGCAGTTGATAAGAGAGTTAAAAGGGGACCACTGGGGACACGACTGACTTGAGCGTCGAACTTGATCAAGATGTCCCGCCTGTTTCTGTCAAGCCCTGTTATCCGCACTTTGAGGTATGGGTCTTGTTTCTCGAAAGAAGTTCCATTAGAGCTGACGGTTTCTCTTGGTGATATGAGCCCAGAGTCTGGTTGTCCGTATATCTGGGGCTCCTTGCCATAGAGTCCTGGAGCAGGACCGTTGTCGGGCGTGTGGGGCACAGGAGATCCTGCAGGACGAAGATTCGGAACAAGGGTACCAGGAGGATGTGGTGTTGTTGGCCATGCGGGGCCATCTAGGTCGGCAAAGCCAGAGTTGGAGGGACTTAGAGGATCGAACATGGTTGGATTGATCCAACTTGCGTTGACAGCGCAAGTTCTCCTCACTCCCCAACACCTTATGTAATCCCCTCCTTTAACAAAGCGGTCAAAAGTCCATTGCTTTCCTGCTATCTAAGTATATAGAGCAATTTACGTCGAGTGTCTGGTAAGTAAGGTAAGTAAAAAGAGAGGCTAACGAGCGGCTAGGTATCCAACATTGTTGCAGAAAGAAGAGATTCCAATCATGTAGTCCGTGTCGTGACGTTCGTGAAGAATAATAGGTAGAAGGTGCTCTTAATTAAGCTAACGGGCAGTCAGGAATAACAACATTTTTCAACGTTCGGCTGTGGTACTCAAGAGTTAGCTTTCTGGCGCCTTGAGTAGAAAACGTTCACTTACTCTCCGTTGAAGACACCCCAGAATCCTTCGACTCCACCGAATTTGTCTTCTTTCCATTTTTCATCGAACATCTGAAGAGATGTTAGTGTCGGCGTACCAGCCAAAGCAAACAACTCACCTCGAAGAAGAAGTATTTGACACCTTGTGCGTTTGCTTGGCAAACGAAGGTATCCATAAAGGTCTAGAGATGTCGTAAATACAAGCAAGCCCTGGGACTGCCGAAGACTTACTTGGAGACCTGCCTCCGATGCTGTGCCGAAACCGTTGGTTGAACTTCCAGCGTCGGTAGCGGCCTGACGTTGCATTAGCCACAATAACTGCGTAAACGATCAGGAATACTCACTGTAGGCCAGCCAGTCTCCGCGATATACATTTCGGGCTAAAACACTTGTCAAAAGCGCACACAGTGACACGGTGGACAAACGTACGTTATTGGCTAGTGCGGCAGCAGGACGAACGTTGAATTCGTCGAAAAAGTCAAACACCCACTGAGCGGATTCCGCTTCTGTTGTGTTGGCGAACCATGCATGGACATTAGACAGCTAGAATGTTCGATTA